CGGTTCAGAGGGGAAATGGGTGTGAAATGTGTGAGAGGGATTGTTTTGGGGGCACCTACCGCATTGCTTCATAAAACAGATAAAAAACAGAGCCACACACAGTTCTGAGAAGCTGCCGGAACGTTCCGGAGGCCCAGGAAGGCATTAGTGACACTGAGACCGCAGCGTGGGAGTCTGGGTAACAGAGAGGGCGCTGACTAAACCAAGCATTGTGGCGTGCAGAGGGAAAGGGATGGGGTCCAGCAGGATTGGAGGGCTTTGTTATTAGTCTGAGGGTTCAGAGATGGAGTCGAAGGTGGACGGATGAGAGACGGGGCAGTTAGAGGCGATATAAAGGTGAGCGGGAGGTAATGTCGTGAGTCATATAGGTGATAGTGTGACTCTGGTGTAGCCAAGCATGTTCCCATGCTCCAGAGGAGGAGAAAGGGTCATGGAAAGAGACCCAGAAGATTATTATACATCAACATGTTAATATGCTATTTATAAAGAAAACTGCCTTTATGACTGTTGTTTTTCAGCCAAAATGTACCAAATTTTAGTGCTCAAGGATTGGTCTTTCTTAACTGAGGAAGCTTATTGGGTCACTTCGTTTAAAATTTTTAAGTTTGGCGGTGTGGTGGCTCTATGGGTAGCACTGTCGCTTCACAGCAAGAGGGTCCCCAGTTTGAGCCCTGGACTGTGCCAGTATGGGTTTCATCCTGGTGCTCCAGTTTCCCCCACACTGTCCAAAGACATGTAGGTTAGATGGATTGGACATGCCAAACTGGCCGTTGGAGTGTGTGTGTGTGTGTGTGTGTGTCTGAGTGTGACTCTCAGTGCTGGAAGGGCATCCGTCATAAAACCTGTGCCAAATCCAACGCGTGTGTGGATAATTCAAATAAAGCGGACCCTGCAAATGACGGGACTAACGCTAGAAATTTTTTTCGTTCCGTTTTTAATGGGAAATTTGTTGTTTCTGTGCCACTAGCTCCACCAAATGGAATTGCAAGAATGTGACTGTTTTCAAACAGGTTTCCCAATCCCTCCTCCCCATCTGCCATTGGTCGCCAAATAGATAGCCTATACCCCAAACTTATGGCATTGATTGAAGATCAAGAAGTGGTATAGTCATTTTTAACACCATTAGCTGCCATAAAAAAAACATGTAAAATAAACATGTAAAACTTTTTTTGTTTTTTGTTTCAGAAATGTCAGAAATTTGATTTGCAATAAGCCCATTTCTTTTTATATAATGTGTTTGCCTACTAAAATAAATAATTGCATAATATATAGTTTTTTTACATTCCAGAAATTTTGAAAGTGGTTAATCCAATGTTGCTCTTTCAGACTGAGCTGTACTGGACACATAGCCTATTTAATTTGGTCTTGGAATAATTTTATTAAAATATAAATGTAATTTATAGTAATGAAATCTCTGATGTTTGATTGTGTTGAGACATTGTTGAGATCTCTATAGAGGAGACATGTGTTTACAGGGATTTTTTGCGCAAAAAAACAAAACAAATGTAAGAAACTCAATACTTCAGTAGACATCTCCAACGCTATCTCACGACCAATTCGTACGAATTCGTACAAGTGATTAAAAGGTGGCTAATTCGTACTAATTCATACGACCTCACTCGTACGAATTTGTATGATTTTTCTAAACCCACGTGATGGGTAGGTTTAGGGGCGGGGTCAGGGGTAGGTCATTCGTACGAATTCATACGAATTTGGTAACTCGTAAAATATGTACGAATTAGCAAAAATCGTACGAATTTGTACGAGTGAGGTCGTATGAATTAGTACGAATTAGCCACCGACATCTCCATTTGCTCTCCATTTAATCTCACTGCTGTCAAGTAATTTAAATATTTATAAAATCAGTAGCACTTTAGGATAAAGTTCTATCCATTAACATTAATGCAATAGCTAACTCGAACAATAAAGAATCCTTTAACAGAAGTTTATTAATATCAGGTTTTAAAAAATAACATTGGTATCATTTTACAATAAGGTTTCATTATTAGTTAGTTAACAAGAACTAAAAATGATCAGTACTTCTATCAAAAATCAAAAATTGTATTTGTTGACATTGGTTAATGCACTATGAACAAACAATGAACGACTGTATTTTGATTAACTAACATTAACAAAGATCAATACTGTAACAAGTGTATTGCTCATTGTTAGTTCATGTTATACATTAACTAATGAGACCTTATTGTAAACTGTTACATTAACATTAGATATGTATCATCAATGAACATGAACAATAGTTTATTTATAAATGAATATTAAGAATGTTGGCCATTATTAATGCTTTGATTATCATGAAGCAACTAATGTCGTGTTACCACTATTTTTTTTCTTTAGAAACGCATGTGTATTCAACAAATGCCTTTATGAATGTAAAAAGGCTCAGTGATTGATTAGACGTTGATCAATTGATCGTTTTGTATTCATTCTTGCATAAACTTGCATCAGCACCACAAACAACCTTCACGTTGACTTGACTGCTGCTCAGAGAGAGTTATTTGAGATTGATGTCACATGACAAAAGCACTTTTAATGCATTGGAGATGCAAGCTGCAGATTACGGTGCCAGGGCTTTGTTAATGCGCTGTCATTGTCTGCCGAGTAGATTAATGATAAAGGCTATTGTCTTTCCTGGGTGCGGTACTTCTTTACAGCTCCCAAACAAGTTGCCTTTTGCCAAGGAGATAGAAATCACAATTTAATATTCCTCCAAAGTGGTCCCGGCAGAGATGCAGCTCTTTGTTCTTGGTAATGATCCAGCGTGGAGATGAATAGAAAGGCTGAGCTAACACTAATGGGAGTGTTAACAGGTCGCTCGCCCCTCCTCTGGCTGTTGCTACAGCAACAAGAAGTGCCGTTCTAATACTGATGATGGTTTTCTGTAGCGTGGCTGGTCAGGATAGACCAGAGATGGAGGATGGACTTCAACAGAAGTGCGGTGGTCAAGTTTATCGAGCCGGTGTAGTTGTTCAAAGATATTGTTATTTGATTGTTGATTTTTTTTTTCTCTTGGTGAAATGCCCATTTGACTGGATGTATCGATTACGTTTCATTAACTGGCAGGTTTCATTAAGGTTGTGTAAAAGTGAGTGTATTTGGTATACAGTATATCAACAGACCCATCTATCATATTATTTATTATAGTCAAATAACGTGCATAATGTCGTTTAAGGGTAAATGTTTTTTGTTTTTTTTAAATAACTTCTGTTTGTATATGATAGACTCAACGAATAATGTGTGAGTCTGGTGTAATTTAGGGTAATTAATGGTAAGAATTAATGGTAATTTCAACGAGACGAATACTGAAAAATTAAAAATTTAATTTTCAAATGGTTATTGCACACACTTTATATCTGTAATTTGGTATTTGCCAAGGGAAACATCAGTATTAGATAGATAGATAGATAGATAGATAGATAGATAGATAGATAGATAGATAGATAGATAGATAGATAGATAGATAGATAGATAGATAGATAGATAGATAGATAGATAGATAGATAGATAGATAGATAGATAGATAGATAGATAGATAGATAGATAGATAGATAGACTGTCTGTGTTGGTTGAAACTTGAATCCTCATTCTTTTATTTTAACGTTTAAAGGGTCTGATATTTCTAGACATTTTTACAACTAACAAAATCACCAGGGTCTTTAAAACGAACCTGAGGAGCTTAGAGCATCAATCTCTGCTATTGGATGACCTTGACAGTGGCGGACACGTGACCCGTGCCAATAAAAACCTGCAGTACGTGATGAAGACTGTCATGAGGAATCCCAGCAGAGGGATACTTCACAATAAAAGTCTGTCCAGACATTGACTGAGCTTCTGTGAGAAAGAAAGAAAAAAAAAAACCCTGAGAGTTTTGAAGAACTATAAGCACTCTTCATCATTGCTTTTACTGCCAAGGATTTGACCTTTAAGTGAAAGTCAGTCAAGGCCATGAAGATGAATCTACACCGCTTCACTGAGCTCATTGAGTTATGAGTCAGGACACAAATTAAACAAAATCCAGTACCATGTGTGCTTGAAATGAACATGAAATCATTTTTGTGTTGAAAATTCTGAAAATACTTTGTGTTATTGAAGTAAAATGGGTCGCAAATGATGTTTTCATATACCGTGTCCTGGGAAACACTCAAAATCCTCATATGTTCTTATCTTCCCCTGCACTGTCTTGTTAGAAGAGGGCTTTGTGACTTTATGTCCTGGTTTTAGAGCGGCAGACAATCAGCCTCTCTCTGATTCGCCCATCTCAGCATAGAGGATCACCCGTAAGCCTGGCCTACTGCCCCTCGGCTCAGTGCGGATGAATGGGAAATGTGGAATAAAGGCTTTTCTTTCTTCACCCTCACCATCCTGGAATATGCTGATGTCAGCATGTTTCCTGCCAGGATCATCACTATTAATCTCATGTGCTCAAACACAATATATCAAATGTTATAAAAAAAAATGTTTTTTTTTTTTTTTTCTGAGACAGATGGAATATAAGAGGGGATCAGATTGTTTTTGTTTTTTTCTAGTACATCAGTCAGCTGGTGTATTTATTCTAACAAAGGAAACATTATTATTTTTGCTTGCAGATGCTGATTTAATGTACATTTCTTTACTACAGTTTCCCTGGTGTGACCAGAAGTTTACTATTACGTTTACCATGATGGTATATAATATAAAAAAATATAATTTTTCCTGCATGTGAAATTCTAGATTTTCATTCTAGTAAAAAAAAAAAAAAAAATTCTAGTGTAATATTCTAGAGATTGCACTACAATTTCGGTATTTTGCATTTCAAGTCCCAAATCGTGGCGAGTGTGTATATCTCTGGTGGAAGGTCACGAAACTCTCTTTCTAGAGTTTGAACCTACATCTGGTCAGTAGCCAACATCCTTAAACACTAAACCACAAAATGGCCAATTGAAAGCTCACATTGTTGCCATTTATTTTGCCAATGCTATAAATAATCTTGTTTGGTCCCCCAGATTGTACTTCTCCGACCCTCATCCGTCCCGAGCGGTGGAGCTGCTGCGTGTGGGGAAGCTGCAGCACTACCTGGCCCGACTGAAGGAGGCTCACGGGAGCTTCACACAGGTCTGTTATCAGATGATCTTTGGCCCTGTAACACACTCCAGAGAGATCAGGCCTGTAATGAGAGCCTGGATGGTGATCGGCTGTATTCTGCCCTGCACTCGAGCTCACAGTTGTCAGATTGTTGTCTAAACGGTGGTATGGATGTCTCCGCACTGACTTTACCGTCTGTCTGCTGATGTTGCATTAGATTTTGTGTTACAAAACTCAGTCAGACTATATGCAAATGGCAAAATAAGGACAAAAAAGTCTTATCTTGAAACTTAGAGATTGTTGGCAAAAGAATAATAGCCCTTATAAATTGGTTTTATCAAATGGCTGACAGAAATTTTAAAAGGCATCAATAGTTTTGTTATTAATAATATAATATGAATGAATAAAGTGTGTCTGTGTGTGTCTGTGTGTGTATAGACCGACCGATAAACGGACGGACGGATGATAGATAGATAGATAGATAGATAGATAGATAGATAGATAGATAGATAGATAGATAGATAGATAGATAGATAGATAGATAGATAGATAGATAGATGGATGGATGGTAGATGGATGGATGGATGGATGGATGGATGGATGGATGGATGGATAGATAGATAGATAGATAGATAGATAGATAGATAGATAGATAGATAGATAGATAGATAGATAGATAGATAGATAGATAGATAGATAGATAGATAGATAGATGGATGGATGGATGGATGGATGGATGGATGGATGGATGGATGGATGATTGATAGATGGATGGATGGATGGATGGATGGATGGATGGATGGATGGATGGATGGATGGAAGGATGGATGGATGATGGATGGATGATAGATGGATGGATGGATGGATGGATGGATGGATGATAGATAGATAGATGGATAGATGGATGGATGGATGGATGGATGGATGGATGATGGATGGATGGATGGATGGATGGATGGATGGATGGATGGATGGATGGATGGATGGATGGATGGATGGATGGATGGATGATAGATAGATAGATAGATAGATAGATAGATAGATAGATAGATAGATAGATAGATAGATAGATAGATAGATAGATGGTAGATGGATGGATGGATGGTAGATGGATGGATGGATAGATAGATAGATAGATAGATAGATAGATAGATAGATAGATAGATAGATAGATAGATAGATAGATAGATGGATGGATGGATGGATGGATGGATGGATGGATGGATGGATGGATGGATGGATGGATGGATGGTAGATAGATGGATGGATGGATGGATGGATGGATGGATGGATGGATGGATGATAGATGGATGGATGGATGATAGATGGATGGATGGATGGATGGATGGATGGATGGATGGATGGATGGATGGATGGATGGATGGATAGATGGATGGATGGATGGATGGATGGATGGATGATAGATGGATGGATGGATGGATGGATGGATGGATGGATGGATGGATGGATGGATGGATGGATGGATGGATGGATGGATGGATGGATAGATGGATGGATGGATGGATGGATGGATGGATGGATGGATTGGAAGGACAGACGGACAGAAAGACAGACAGACAGCTTTAGACCATCACAGTTTCCGTTTCAATCATGTAATTGAATTTTCTTCCTTCACATGACAATGGTTTAACTCAACCGTCTCTCTTCCTCTCGCCCCCTCTCTCCTCAGGCCTATGACATCATGAAGGTGACCCACGGGACAGAGCATGCCCTGACTGATGAGGTGAGGAGAAAACTGGGCGAGTGCCAGGCCGAGCTGGGTGAAGTCTAGACTGAACCCCTGCGTCATCATATGGAGACTGACTCTGACATGCTGGCTGTCAATCAACCCGCCGCTGGATTCGCTCTCAAATGGAAAGTTTCAGGATGCGTGTGTCTGGCACCTGCGTTTGTGCCCCTGTGTATCAAACCAGCTGGCTTAGAATTCATATTATATGAATATTTCTTCTCTGCTTCTTCTACTCCGCTTGCCAAAGGGAAAAAAGCGACATTACTGCCATGCTTTTTCATTCCATTCCCATATTTTTTTTTATATTTTTGCAATAAGAGTGCTTCCACCGGCTGTCCCCCCCAGTATCTGGTTACTTTTAAGTTAACACGCAATCCAAAGTATAGTCTACTACCCTCCATATTTTCAATAGAAAGTCCTACTTCTAGGTATTTAGACCCCAAATGAATGGTTGCAACAGGAACAATATTGCTAAATCTAAATAATAAACTTAAAGAAAGTGTCTGCAGTGTATGCATCTATTGCAAAATCTGAACAATTTGGTTCACTCCATTTTTGATTTGTACAGTAGCTGCATATTTTTAGTTTCTCAAAGAGATGTTAGATATCATATTAGTATCTAAATGCATCTGATTGAGTATTCAGTGAATTGTCACAATATGTTTCATGTTGTTCTGGTCACAAAATTTGAATAAAATGATTAAAATAAGTGTTATTTTAGTATTATTTATATACTATTGTAGTATTTTTTTTTTTTTTGATAGCTTTTATTTTCACATTATGAATTTTTAATCTTAGTTTAAGTTTTAATAATTTTGTTATGTGCTTTCAATTAGGTTGTTTTTAGTGCTGAGCAACGATTTAATCGCGATCAATCGCATCCAAAATAAAAGTTTGTGTTTACATAATATATGTTATACTGTGTATAATTATTTTGTATATATAAATACACACATATGCCTGTACAGTATATATTAAAGAAATATGTGCGTGTATATATTGTATATATATTTATACATAATTTATATTATATATAAATATAAACATTTTATAATATAATTTAATATATAAATAACACATTTTTCTTAAATATATGCATGCATATGTGTGTATTTAAACATACAAAATAATTATACACACACATATATATTATGTAAACAGAAACTTTTATTTTGGATGCGATTAATCGTTGCCCAGCACTAGTTCTATTTTTTTTTACTTTTACTTTTACTTGCTATTTCCTAATTATCTTTTTTAAGTTTAGGTTTTTTCATCTAATATTTAATATTTTATTTTATTTCAGCTTCTTTTCAGTTACCGGCAATGATTTTTAGTATTTTTAGTTTTAGTTAACAGTACTGATTGAAATATGACATTTTAAGATCTATGTGCCGACTACGTTCACAGACTGCTAGCCTTAGCGCGCAATTCTGATTTATTGCTCAGATCTGATTTTGTTTGTTGTCATTTGTTTGGCTGTTCTCATTATGTGTTCAGAATTGTGATGAATGTTGATCTAGAGTGCTGTAAAAGTCTCATGAATTCTGATATGACTGTTCAGACTGCGGTCGCATTGCAAAACATCAGATGACCCAAGTGACCCAAATCAGAATCGAAAAGATCCTTTTCCATGTGGTTTGTGCGCTGTTCACACTGTTATAAAAAATTGGAACAATTGGAACAACCCCAGGAATATCCATCAGCACGTTTACCCAAACTCCTGTGAGGTAGTACCTTTGATAGATGACTTTAGTTTGCTTTTGATTTGATTATCACATAATCAACTGTTATGAAAAGCAACACCTTTTCAGGAATAACTGCTGTGCTTCAAGAACCGCTCCGAACTACACACACACACACATTTGTGCTTCAGTTTCTCATCATTAACTTCAATCTTCAGAGTCGCTCTGACAAAACAGTCCCATTCGCTCAGATTTCATAAACATATTTCAGCAGCTGATTTGTGTTTTTAAGCTCTGGAATGTGCTGTTATTACAGTTCAATCCTTGATTTGTAATGTGGGTCATTCCTACTATTCAGTAAATGTCCATGTCTCCATCATATGACTTGATATATTGTATAAAATATGAAATCAGTCATATCAGTTTTCACAATCATAACAGTTAAGGGATCATTTGAATAATTTCAGTACTTTGGTTTGAACAGATGTTTCCATTTATATGCTAACAAGAAAAACTGGCGTTTTATTAAGAAATATTCCAGGTGTTTCACTAATCAAAATGATTTTCTTAAGTGTTTTGAAAGTATACAAAGTATACCTTCAAGTCGAACACAACTATTTGAAGAACTGGCTTTTTTTAATGACATCATCCTGAGGAAGTGATGTCATTTTGGTGGTAAAACACTATTAATAAAACACAATTAAGTTCGCTTAATTCGCTTAGTTCACTTTTGCTTGTGCTTGTCAGTAGCCTGTTTCTCCGGACATTTTTTCAGCCCGTTATTTTTGCCAAATCTTTTTAACCCTCATGAGTGTCTGAATACATATAGATGGGGATTACACGTTATCACACCACCGTCCACTAAAGCAAACAGCTTTTGGAGGTGCGCTTCTCTGAGATGGAGATAACATCTTTCTGTTGGATAGAATGGGGCTTAAGAGGAAATAGAGGAAGTTGGTATAGAGCGGCAAGTTGTCAGCAGTCCTATCTCTAAAGCCGATGACATCATTCATTTCTCACAAAATGTGAACGAGTCCAACCATGAACCTGAGTGCGATTTCACCAAAAATCTTTCTTACTTTTACTTAAATGAAGTAAGGTTTTACAATCACTACATATACTGTAGTGGCCAACAGTGATGTCTGGCCTAGGAAAATTGACATCACCCATTATTAAAAATTATTTTTAAAAATGTCATATTGCATGTGCTTGGAGTCATAACGCAATAAACCATGCCAAATTTTGCAGACATAATTTGTATGCGTTTTTCCTGTGAACTTTTTAGTTCCCTTTCGAGGGAACTCGCGATGCGTCATCGACGCTTTGGGAACGCCCCCAGCGTGAATGCGTCTGAGCATCAATGTCAACTAGTCCAATGGAAAGAATGAGCGTCACGGGCGGGTGACGTCATGACCAGGAAGGCATAAGAGCACATCCGGTGAAACGCGGCATTAGCTTCTGTGTCTCAGCAAGCGATCTGTGGTACTCTGTCTCTGTCTATTTATTGTTGTCTGTTGCATTTATATTGGAAGAGTTATGGCGAAACAAATGTACAAACAGTGTGCTTCTCCCTGCCCGCGTTATTTAACGGGTGGGGACACACACGAGCTTTGTGTTATTTGTTTGGGAATGGAGCATGCGGTCTCAGCCTTCGAGGGGGCTGAGTGCCAGCATTGCGAGATGCTTCCGCTTCGCATGCTCCGTTCTCGCCTGTCACTCTTTCACGAGAGTGGTCAGGTTCGCGATCCTCAGGGTGCAGGACCCGCTGCTGCCGAGGCAGCACGGAGAATGCATTCCTGGGGATCGCAAAAGGATCTTTCGGAGGGGTTGGAGACGGGTCCGAGGGCCTTTTCTCCTTCCTTACCCGGAGGATCCAGTGCTCTCCCCCCGGTGTCGGAAGCCCGCTCTGCGGCTTCTTCCGCCCGGGGAGAGAGCCCTCCATTACTTCATTGCTCTTCCTCTGAGGAGGTTGATGCGATGAGTTTGGAGAGTTTAAGCACACACACTGGGGAAATTGATTCGCCACCTATTTCCCCAGCATATGAGGAGCTGGTGGATGTGATGTCTAGGGCTGTAGAGAAATTAAATATTGAATGGCCAGCTGAGAAAAGTAGCGCTCGTCCTAAAAGCAAATTAGATGAGCGTTTCCTTTCTTCAGCGACATCATCTCCACCACGAGGCCTTCCCTTTTTTCCTGATTTACACAATGAATTATCTAGATCATGGGATAAACCGTACTCATCACGTCTTTTCAGCCCTCAAGTTCATTTATATTCAGGTATAAGAGGGCTGAAAGAGTACGGTTATGAGGCGATGCCCCAGGCTGAACAGACGCTCGCGAGCTATCTGTCACCTGGCCCAGCATCGTCTCTGAAGGCCTCAGCTTTGCCCACTAGACCGCTTAAAGCAACATCAGGGTTAGTGAGCAAAGCTTATACGGCAGCAGGTCAGGCTGGAGCATGTCTGCACACTATGGCGGTGCTCCAGGCTTACCAGGCTGATTTGCTGGGGGATTTGGATAAGAGTGAGGGAGTTGGCCCTGATGAAGTTCGAGAACTTCGTCGGGCCACCGATCTGTCTCTCAGAGCTACAAAGGAGACCGCTAGAGCAATTGGGCGGTCTATGGCAGCCCTTGAAGCTACTGAGAGACATCTTTGGTTAAATCTGGCCGAAATAAGAGAAAAAGACCGGGCTTTTTTATTAGATGCTCCGCTTGAGCCTTCTGGTCTCTTCGGCGACGCAGTCAATGCGGTCGTCGAGAGGTTTCAAGAATCAAAGAAGCAAGCGGAGGCATTTAAAAAGTTTCTCCCTCGCCGTGTCCAACCCCCTGGGGCTGCTGGGCGTGAGCAGCCCCAGCCGTCGAGCTCCTCATATCGTGCGCAACAAAAACAGAGTGTTTCGTCTCGTGCACCTCCACATAAACAATGGAAACAGACGCAACACTCTCAGTCGAAGTCTTCTAAGCCGAAGCCGGATCTGAGGACCGTTCTTCAGGCGAAGAAGACTTCGGCTCATAAAAAGAGGTCCTGACGTCAATGGCGTCAGACCTGTGAGGACGGCCCCGACCGAAGTGGAGCGGTGTACACCTCAGAATACGGTGCCCGTTCCGCTTCGGGGTCCTCACGGGACCGTTCTGCCAACCCCGCCACCCTTGGTGCTTCGGGGCGCAGCGGTCTCCAGCGAGTCGCTGATGCTATGCTGCGGCACTGCATCGGTTTCGCGCCCTCTGAGGGGGGTTTTAGAGCAGCCAGTTCAGGTAGTTCCTGCCATTATGTTTCAGGCTCCAGAACTGGCTGTCTCGTTAACACCAGAGACCAGCCTCGAGAGGCTGGTTCCCTTAGTAGATTTTCTGGCAGCGTGGAAGCTACTGCCAAATATTTCTCGTTGGGTCCTGCAGATTGTAGAGAAAGGATACAGAATCCAGTTCGGTTCTCGTCCTCCTCGCTACAACGGGGTGTTGTCACAGTAGTGCATCCCGAGCAGGCTCTGGTAATGGAGCAAGAGGTAAAGG